TGTGAAATGGAACAAAAGAACAAGGTAAATTTTTATTATTTATTTTTTGATAAAATTTTTTATTCATTCTATAAAATTCATATATAGGAAAGTAATACGAAATCTGATTAGACCACGTTACAAAGCAAGAGAAAGTTTGAAAAATTTTATCCTAGGTTTTGCTTTTGTTAGCTCTTTGTTGACCTCTTTTTTTTTCAATTCTATTTGATTAATTTGGTTGAGATTGGATCTCCTTTTTTATAATAAATAATAAATAAATCCATTTTAATTCACTTGTAGACTTCTGTATAGCTTAATGCAGTTATATTTTGTTAAAAGAGTAAATTCATTCATCATGCATGCAATGTTAGTGATGTTACTAAGATTACGATTATTAAAATTATTAATTATTTTCAAATAACGTCTACAAATTTCTGGGGTTTAGTTAAATAATCAAAATTTGAAGATGGAGTAAAAGATCAAAGTTAAAAATCAAAAGCGGAATAAATTAAGCTTAAAATGCCTTCTCTTTTTCTGTCATTAAAAAACTTATTTTTAAAACCCTAGATCTTCTAAATACAATAACTTTCTTCAGTTATAAAATCACTTACCAACGAAATTAAAGAAAATTTAGGTTTTTTCTAATCTTTCATTAATACTCCTCATTCGGTTATTGGTGATCTTCATGAAAATCCCATCACAGTATATCAAAATCTACTTAAAATGGCTATCTATAATATGTAGATCTCATTCGGCAAATATGTGTGTATTTTTTTTAAAAAAAAATTCTTTTTTGTTTCCTTTTACTAACACTTCATTTTTTACTTTTTTAAGCGTCTTTGAGTATAGGATTTCGGGTAAGCAGTTTTTTTCTTCATTTCTCTTCAGTTTTCTCTTTTTTAGACGGTCTCTAACGGGTATAGAAGATATAACAGGACTCATACTAAAGTAGAATTAAAAAATAGGTAAGACATTTAGGATTGGAGTTTATGTTATCATTAAGTGAGTATCCCAAGTAATTATTTTAATGGACCACTCACAAAGCAGAGGCAGCAATTGATAGACTTCTCACTTACTTTATCTTTACTATTTATTTTATAGGTAAATAAAGGCCACTTTTTAGAAGTGAAAATTTATAGAAGGACATGATATTCCAATGAAGTCTAACAGGTGGTGAATAGCATCAGTCCGAGTAGAAGGGGTCAATAGGACTTGCTACGGAGGATTATCATACTTCTGATTATATAGAATGTGTGGACCTCTCGCTTGGTAGATTCAATCAAAGTATGCTTATTATGGTTAGCATTACCAGTGTAAAATGACTACCTCGAAGTCCTACCGCTAGTTATCATTTTTTATTTTTTATGTATAGTAAAGATAATGTATAGATGGTGAATAGCATCATATTTTTTATATTAAAATTTATGCCTTTGGACGAAAAGAAAATTTTACTTTATGTTTAGAACATATAATAAGTAATAACAAATAACAAATAATAATAAATAAATTAAATCTTAATTATAACAATCATTAGTGAATCAAAAAATCAATTAATATATTGTTAATAGAATTTATTTCCAACGTTTAATAGTAATACGGCGAACTGTTAATTTAGATAATGAATGATCGCCACAATTAGTATCCAATCAGAATGTTGTTTATATGTTTATATTTCACAACTGATAATCACATGCCTGATTTTGACATTCAATATGAACTTTGTGTCACGTATCAAGTAATCAACTAAAACATCATCGATGCTTTTTTGAAAGCCTTCTCTTTTTCTTCGGGTCGACCTTCCATTTATTTCCTCTTGTTCTTCCTTCGTTTACCTTCTTCCCTCTCTAACTTTTCAGAAAATCCAGAAGTTAATAAGCAATTGAGCTGGAACATTCTTATATTGAAAAAAAATCTCAAATATATACTCTTTCCCTTTCCCTTTCCTTCGTCTTCTCCCTCTCCAACGAGACATTAGGTTAGTGTTACTAAAGTTACGTTAGAGTCTTGTTGGGCGTGTGTAATTTCGGGTGGTTTCAGCAAATGATCCAGCTGTTAAAGCATTACAAAAGTTGCTCATTCACATAGTCAGGGAACGTGATTTTTCGGCGCAAGAAACTTGTCAACATCTTCAATTACCGCTCTATCATAGTAGCCGAAATTTTGTTAGTCTAAAACTTAACAAAGAGGCAAATCAACAGCTTCGTGATAGTAATGAAAATGTTCCAAATAATGAGAACAATGGAATTATGTAAACGGATCCCTCACCTCTACAAAGATATTGTAATATACCTGCCGAACTTGAGGAACTTTCATTGTTCAAATTGGAGCAGCAATATAAATTCAACTGATAGAATGCTCTGGTGAAAACATTGTACGTATTTAGCCGCGTCCATCTCCCATTCGAAATGGTTCGTTATAGAGACCTTCTTAGCCTCACAGAAATCACACTTTTTCATGGATTAATTTATATAACCAATATCTTGTACAAATCAATGATGACCCTAATGATTTAATTGGACCTGCTGTGGATGATATTCAAGAAGTTGATGGTAACGATTCTGATTAAGAAGACGACGACACACCACAGGAAGCGTATGAACTTCGAACTGACTGTCTGAAATGATGCAAAATAGACAGATGCGTAGCTTAGATGACTTTAGTGCCCGTGATATTGATAGAAATCACGACTGGGTTAACGAAAGTTTGTTATGATATCCTGAAATTGAAGAAGCAGAAAGCTTCATCCAGCAGGCAATTGGTAACAACGAAGTAACTCAAGTTGGAAATAATCCAAGAACAAGCCGTCTAAAAAAAAAGAGAAAAAAAAACGAAACATTAGCTTGTAAAAGTTTCGTCAAAGAATAAAAATAAAATAACACTTTCCTACCTCGAAGAACCGGCCAATGATGAACGAATTACTTATGTTATTTTATAGAACCATCGTGTGTGTCAACCTCATTTCGTGCAAGATGAACCATGTGTTTTAGAATTCAAAGAACTAAGACACCCTTACGTTACGCCTAGGTATGTTGTTTTTAATACTCCTAATCGCCTTTTTGAACGTGGATATCGGCATGGAGAGGGAGTTTTCTTTTTGGATATTTCTTTATTGGAAACTAAAATCAAGAATGGTATCAACATGTTTTTTAAACTTGGAACTTAGTTAATGAGAATAAGCTTTTTTAACGCAAAAATCTTAGTTTAAAGACAAATTATTTTCGAGTCTTTAAACATCGGTGGGTGGTTTTTATTCTTGAAATTATTTCTTTAAATGAAACGGTTGATTTTTCCTATTTAGAGTGGATTTGTTGGAAACTCGTGGGTTCTTTTTTACTTTAATATCTAAACCTTTATTATTTTAACAACCTGTTACTTACAGTTCATTTTTTTCATTTTTTTTTTTTTTAGACGGCCGGTTCCGCGACTTTTGAAGGACAGAATCATAGTAAGTTTTCGTGATCTTTCGAAAACTTCTTTAGAAACTTACATCAATGCTTTTTTATTTCTATCTTGTAGGAACCCAGTCAAATTCCAATTTCGGACTCCTGAAGCGGAAAAGAAAGCAAAAGAAGAAGCTGATGGAAAGAAAGCTGAAGCAGTCCTTTGGCATTGGAACTTTGGATTTGGTAAGTTTCGTTCGAGACGAAATTTATTTTAAAAAAATTTTTTTAAAAAAATTTCTCTTTTTTGTAGGTATCGGACGTTTGTTTCTTGTTGGATTTCATGCCTTGCTGTAGATCGGATGGTAAGTTTCAAAGCATCTCGCTCTGTTCGAAACTTTTTTTCTTTTTTTAATTTTTTATTATTTTTTTTGCTAGTATCGCTTCCTGGATCCTGGGATGATAAGATCGTAAGTTTCGTAATGGTTTGTTTCGAAACGTTTTATTAATTTGTTTTGAAGAAACTAACCGTTTCTTCTTTTGTTTATTTTGTAAGCATGTTTTCGGCTTTTGGGTCAGTTCCTTGAGTAAGTTTCGAAGTAAACTTGATCTTTGAATGACTACTGAATTGTTTAAATTGTTTATTAAATAAGTTTTGTTCTTTTTTTTTTAGGATTCGGCTTTAAATTTAGAGTTTATAATAAATAGAGGTAGATGTAATTTGTACATGCATAAAAGAATAAATGAAATGAAATAATAAATAGAATCAAATCACCTAAAAATCGGCGTTAAAATCTGATTTTTTTACTGCCAATTGCTATCTGATTTCTCACTGAACTGAAGTAGTTTGGTAAATTCGAATATCTATTGATTGTATAACCAGCATGGAGATGAAAAATACTATAAAAAATTTGGTCTTCGCTTATATTCAATGTTTTCCAAAGAATTTGTTACTCCTAGTATTTTCTTAGCGTCGTTCGTTCTAACTCCCTGATCGCTGCCTCGAATTAGTGCAAGAATAGAACTGATGCGTTTAATAATCAAATAAAAAATTGAAAAAATTAATAATCTGCTGGTTATTTTTAAAATACCATATGAAAAATCTATGAAATTATTCCCAATGCCAACGTTTAGGGCTGCATAATAATTGTCTCACTCCCATGTAATATTGATTCTGCTTCTAAACTATTTTGTTCCTTGTATTTCTAATTTATTGTTTTAAACTCATTTATCTGGAGATCAAGTTTTTTGATAATATACTTCCAATTGCATTTTTTCTAAAATTCGATATAATATCATAGTGGAGAGAACAAATGCACATGCCGGGTATAATAAACATAAATTTACAGAGTTATATATTTAAGTTATGTTAATTTCTTTCTTTTTTATTAATATGTATTTAAAAAAAACCTTAAATGTTAAACTGACAGCTAACTACCTAAGCGAAAAGTGAGAAATGGGTTTTTCATAGGAGAAATGGGTTTTAAGCGACTATGTTTTGTCTGATTATTTTGGTTTCGAGATATAAAAATTTTTTATCTTAACTGATCATTAGTCAGATGATAAATCATCAGCTGGTTTTCTGTGCTACAGCATAATTTTGAGTCCGATTTATTCTGAAAATTGCCTACTTTAAACTTATTAATCCCAGATAGACAAATCCGCCGATATGTTTAATATAGCTTCTACAGACGCTTGTCTGTCTCCAAAATCATTATTAGTCACAATGGATGTTGGTGTGCCAGAAGGAGTCTTTTCATTTTTATGCAATTCTACCGCAAGAGCACTCTTAAAAATAGAAAATTCGTCCTTATGATTAATAAAGTTTAAGTAATCAATAAGTCGATTCCTGTAATCCCTGGAATGTTTAAATATTAAATTATCTCTCATCGGAGGATTTTCGGGTAGCTTTTCGATACATTGAAGAAGCCGATATATGTCTTTGGCAATTCAGCCGTAGTATTCAGCAGTTTAACAGATTTGTCAAAATATTCAACTCTAATCCTAAGATCTCTGGCTTTTCGTCTTTCCGAACCTATCCGACTAAAATTGTATGGAATTGAGATCTCGTTAACTTTCGCCTCTACAATCCTAAGATCACTAACTGATCGAACGTGCAAAATTCCATCTGATTTCGTATATTGCATCAACCCGGTTTCAACGTTCATTGTAAATGTCTTAATATTGGTTTCTTTTAGTATGCTCCAGAGCGCGAACGAGACGTTGAATACATTTGTATTCAACTTATCAGTGACTGTTTCCGCAAGTTTGGCATTATCTAAAATTTAACAAATTATTAATGACCCAACCGAGTAAAATCTTTCATACTAATATTATACCTTTCTTATTTTTTTTAATATTATTGTTGTCGCTTATACCTTAAAAAAAAAATCCAAATTAGTAAGATACTAATCAATATCAGTCATACAAATATATCAAAATCTTTCGTAATATTATATATGTCTTTCTTGGTTTTTTTTGTATTTTTAATATCATTATCATTTTTTCTTTTATTGTTGTTGTCTCTTGCGCCTTAAAAAAAAAAAATCAAATTAATAAAAATACCAATCAATATCAGTCATACAAATATATTAAACATACTTGTTGAAGAAATCATTTCGAGAAACCTTGTTGTGGATTAGATGGAATGAAGGTAATATGAGTTAAGGAAAGTAAGTATTAAATGAAACAAAGTAAGGTAATGAAACAAATTTTTTGAAAGAGAAATTCAGATTAGAATTCGTTCTTAAATAATGTAAAATTTTCACATGCAAGTCAATTATCTCGGGAATGATTAATCACATTTAGAACTAACTAATTACAGAAAGTACACACCTAATTATTACACTAATTACAATTAGAATAATTATACATTTTTTATTTGCAACCAGTCATGTGACTTACAGTAATTACATTTGATTAATGTATTTTTTTTAACAAGATTTTTAAGATTGTTAAATTAAAAATTTATATGAATTTAATTTCATCATTCAATCTCTTTATCATTGTGAATCTCACTACCTTCAGAACAACTTGAACGATGTTATTACATTAAATACAGTAAGTCACGATTTTAGGTATATTTATGAGAACTGAATACGACGGTGTTCTACTTCAATCATTTCAGCAATCTTAGTTTGATCTTTCGCACATATAGTTGGTTCCATATAGTCATATATACATCGCCATTTACTAATTGATTCATAAAAATTTGAGGTATTAATTTCTAAGAGGTTACAAGAATTTTCACTGTAATTTCGCACTTTCTGAAGAAATCTTATTGTTGAACCCGCAAGGTTAAATGTGATCCACCTTACAGCAAGGATGCTAATTGAGATAAGTATTACAAGAAAATCAACAAAAGTCCCCATTGTAGCGACATTACGTTATATTTTATCTAGAACTTTTGTAACTGATTGGACCATCCCAATAAATATAAGTTATTTTTCATCCATAGTTTTATTCACCATATATCGATTACAGTCCAACATCCAACTTTAATTCCATGTTCTTCCACTTCTTCCAAAAGGGTTCTAATGCCAGATAAGTTTTACTAGTTGATGATATTTGGAATCAAGAACCTTCTTTTTGTAGTACTTGAGTAATTACTTTGTTTGACGACTTTCTTGTTTTTAATATGAGCGTTCATCAAAAGAAAAATTGATCCATTTATTGAAATTAGGCACCTGATTATATTCATGACGAATTGAATCTGTTATCGGCTGCACAGTCTTCGATATTATGGCTATCAATAGGGAGATCCTAAAATATGATAAGGAAGAAAAGTTCGTTCGAACTTTTCTTAATCGTGATTATTAAATGTGCCGGAGTTTTTTGATTGGTCTAAATGATTTTGACTAATATTACTGGATAAGGAAGAAAAGTTCATTCGAACTTTTCTTCAAAGTCTTGTGATTAAAGATCTTCAACGATAAGGAAGAAAAGTTCGTTCGAACTTTTCTTAATCGTGATTATATGAGGAAAGCACAAGTATACGATTACCACGTGAATTCTCCATTTGCATTTAATATTATGGCACAATCAATTTGAACAAGTAATATTTGTAACACCATTTTTTGGAACAATACCCAAGACATTTCATTCATGCTTTTGAAATAACCTTCTGCTTGATCTGACCCATCATATAAATCATCATTTCGGAGAATTGTATATTGAACTTTTGACTTTTCAAAGTGTCATATTTTGCAAAAATAGCATACTTTAATCCAAAAAATCTGTGTCATCTTTAAGGGTATTTGATTTGATTCGTTAAAAGAATTTTAGTTGGTTGATCCCCAGTCAAATCAATGATACCAGTATTCATTGTTGGCGTATTATAATTATTATTAAAAAATGATGTCAAAAAGGTGGTGCGCATTCTTTTTGATTCAATTTCTTGTGTTATTTTGGAATTTTCGATATGTGTTGGTGTAATAATATGTTCCTTTAATCTGGTTCCATCACTAAACGGTGCAGATTTATTAATTTTTGACAACTTTGACAATAAACATGCTTATTATTACTAATAAATCGTAGGATTTATCCTCTAAAATCTTTTTAAATAAAAATTTTCCCGATAGAACAAGATTTTGAAAAATTTCTACTATCTTTTGTTCTGTATTTTCATCTCGAGTTCTTTTGGCTGATAAATTTTCACTTTGAACTACTAAAATTTAATATAAATTACTTAATTATTTTACACGTTTAAATTAATACATAAGAGCGACATTTTCACCAGTATTAGATGCAGTGCTTTTTCCTTTTCCTTGAATAAAGTTATTTGTTATTCCAAAATAATCAAGTTTTTTTTTGTTGTAAACTTTTTTTGGATGAACTTGAATTACTTACTACTTTCATTCTTTATGATTAAATTTATTGACAAAGAAAAAAGAGATAAATGATAAATAATAAATAATAAAAAGTACATCGAACATTCCTGATATGGATTTTTGTACGTCGAACCCCTTAATTCTGAACTAAATCTGTACGCTTAAGTAATGCCTTCAAACAAGCATTCAAGGTATAATAGAGATTAGTAATGCTATTATGTTGTCAGAACATAATTACCTGTTTAGAGAATCAAATTAGTATAAACCAGTTTTTATAGTATCAAAATGGTTAAACATTATGTCAGAAACCATAGAAACATGTGACAGAACTACCCGAAAATTTGGGTTCTATCTGTGTATTTAGGGGCTTTGAGAGAAGAAAAAAAAAAAATCTACAAATAATATAATAAAAAATGTTACATGAAGTGGAAGAGTAACACAACAAAATTACCAAATCAGTAAGATATAATAAATTCAGGGAATTCGTAAAATTTAAATTCGAACAAAATGATTTAGTAAAAAATTTAATTACGTATATGTCACGATAAAATCAAAGCCACATATATATTTGCACAAGTCATAGGATTATTTTAAAATCAGCATTCATTTTATTTATTGAATTTCGTTAGTTTTTATTTTTTATATAATTTATATAAATACTACCCGGGTTCTAATACAAAACTTCAGTGAATTATATTCTGGTCTTAAGCCAGGGGAAATTTTTTATATCGAGTAAAATACCTAAAGTGGGTACGCCTAAAGGGTGATATTTTATGCAGTGCTTGTCTTTTAATTATAATCACGATGGTGTACAATTTTGTATTAGTGCAGATACTTACGTTATCATAATATTTTAAAAATATAAACGCGACAGAGTATTCTCTACCAGGTTTAAAACAAAATGGATAAGGTAAAAAAGCAAATTAAACAAAATTTCATATTTTTTCTTTAAAAAAAATTACTAATTTTGATTATTTGATTAATAATATATTAAGGAAGAATTTAACAAAATTCTGATTGATGAATTAAAATTACTTTTCTTAAAAACAAGAAGCCCTTCATACGATTTCTTAGAAATATTATTAAAATCAATAAATCCTGCAATGAACTATAGTCAAATTGAAGAATACATCAAAATTTGCAAGGGAAAATTTTCAGATTTTAGGTATAATTACAAAAAAGAAATTTTAAATAAAGCGCGAAATCTTGAGGGTTATTTTAGGTAATGCGAAATTAAAATTAATAACTGAAAGTATATTATATTTTTAATTTTAATTTTTTTTTTATTAGAAATATTAAGTTAGAAGAATTCGAAAGTTTGTTAAATGATATTATTACTGAAAATGATTGCAGACAGATTCTTGCTTCACATCTTTCTTGTGTATATAAAGAATCTTTTGAGGGTAATGAAGTATCTTTAAATGAGCTTACTAATTTTGTTACAAAAAGTATGTTAATTGGTATAAAATCTTTTTACATACCAAACTTTAATGTAAAAGAGGAACTTAAAAAATTAGACTATTGTACTAGTTCAGTTAGACTACAATCAAGGTATCATACTAATATTGTATATAACATGGATTAAAATAAACTGAAATTATAAGTTACAGATTGAGCTTACCATATGATCTGAATTTTACTATGTAACGACAATTTTGTAAATAAAGTTTGTTTAGTAAAATTATCATTATATGACATTGACTGGATGATATATAAAGCTGTAAGATCAAATCCTTAAATAGTTCTTACACTCTTATATTGTAATAATATAATGTTCAAACAAATTAAGCCACGATGAATCAGTTGTACTACTCTATTTACCTGGATGCACATGATCGTTACGCGCCTTACATCACATTTAAATATTTAATGTACGCGTCTAATATTTGATTTTTTCAATTTTTTCTCGTTCAATTTTTCTTCCAGAAAAAAAAATGCCACCCAAAAAATCTAATCAAAAAATACTACCTAACGCACAAAACACGTCAAAAGGTAAATAATATTACGATAAATAATCTCTTTTAAATATAAAGAGAATTCATTATATTCGTTATTATAGAATGTGAAAGTAACTCGAAAAGAACTTCAAATGTCGAAGACGAGGAAACTGTTAAAAAAAGAGGTTCAAAAAAACCACGACCTAATGCTGCTGAAAATAGTACCGTAAAAATTACAGTTCCCGAAGATCTTGACTATAGTGGTACGACTTAATTTAATTATGATTTTAATAATCTCAGAGTTAAACAACAATTTTTTTTTTTGTAGTGAGCGAAGAAAGTGATGTTGGTTTAGAGGAGGATAAACTTATTCCACTTAACCCGGATAACATTATTAATCTGGAAGAAGAAAGTGAGATTAAAAAAAACAAGTAAGAATATTATAATTCAATTAATGATAGCTTACAAGAAATGAATTTAAATTATATTTTTTTTTTTAGTATTAATTTAGAATCATATAGCGAATTCCAAATCGCAAATTTCGTTGCAGATCATCTGTCAATTTTAAAATTAGCAAACGTACTTCGTGATTCAAAAGAAACGCCAGCAGGGAATTCAGTAAATGAGTCATTAAATATTCAAAATGAGAAGGTAATATTAATATTTTATTAGACTATAATGAATATGTAGTTCTCTAATACCAAACAGCTAGTGTGATCTTAAATAAATAAAATTTATTTTTTTTAGAAAACCATGGACAAAAATAAAAAGCTTTTAATTCAAGAATTGAAGCTGTTGTTCCTTAGATGTAGGATAGCAAATTCTCACATTTTTAATTCAATCATTTCTGCAACCCATCCGCATTTACGAACTGAACTTTACAGAGATGAAGCTAAAGAACTTCGTCGTGAATGTGGCCTAAAAATGTCAGACTTTCAGTTCAAATTTATAGCAACTTTGACCGAAATGGCTCGCACTTTTATTGATAGTGGTGAAAAGTAAGTATTTGGAAGGTTTTAGCATTATCATTTAATTAATTAAATTTATTGATTTTGTCTATTGATTTTGTTTATTAATAGGGTAGAAGATTTTATTGGAGATTCGTGGAGAAATATTTTGGGCTTGCATCTTAAAGCCATTAACAAAATGAAGTTCGAAGCAATGAAGGAAGATCATAAAAGGCTCCACAATTTTGTGCTGAAATCGTTTAAAGCTGTAGTAGATTATGAACAAAAAAAATCCACAATAAGTCCTAAAGACATTATAAAAGATACTTTAAACCATATTACGATCAATATAAAAGTTCCTTCATTTTCGGGTCATGATATTGTAAACAATTTAAATATCGAAGATTTAATTAAGTAGCACCACTATAAGAAAGTGTTATTTGATTGAATCTTATAAAATTAATTAGTAAATAAACACAGAAAATATTTTTGAGAAATTGAAAAACATAGGAAAAAATTTTATTTTGTGATAAATTGCGCTACCTTAGATTTTCTACAAAAATTAAATTTGGTTTTTCTTACTAGATTTAAAATTTTGTATTTTAGAATTTTCACGTATTTCAATACCTAAATTTAAGTGGACACAATTACAATTTTGTTACATTCAGGGGTATTTATTCGTCACGAATAATCGCATATAATAGAGTTAAGAACACATGAAGACAGTAGATATTATGATCTGATCATTGTGATCATTTTGTAAGGATTTGCAAAAATAGATAATCGATATTATATTAATATAACAAATTCGTATAATTGATTACATGATGATATATCATTGATATCGTCTAATATTGATATCTTCAATATTGTTACTAGAACAACGAAATATTTATATTGTTATAACAAATTTAGAAATAGTTGACAATCAGATGACAAATCTATTTATTTTATTTATTTAGTACATTATATGAAAATATTAAATTTTTACATCAATCGGATAAAATGAAAAATACATTTTAAGAAAATATATACTAAACATCAATTAAAGCCCATATATTCAATTTCCAAAAATGTGTTGAACTAATTTAAATAAATGTCGACGAGTCACAAATAGATATCTAGATTTTTCATCAATCTATAGATGAAAATTCTTTATAAAATTATAAAATAGTTCTCTTTTGGCACATGAGTCGAATCAGTCGATACAAAACCAATAGCAGTTTTATTACAATTATTTGTTGTCACGTGTAAGTTGTTATAATCATATAAATAATGACGTAATATACTGTACCTTAAATAGCGCGTCATAACTGACAAAAAAAAATCTTCCCACTTGTTTTCGCTGTTTCTAGTTTTTGAAATAAATAAACAGTATTTTTCTTTAATTTCTTTAATAAAATGGAATTTGGAGGTGGGTTTACTTTTGATAAAGGTATTTTTTGAGGTGTTTACCTTCTTTTGATGAAGGTGTTATTTTTTACCTTCTTTTGATGAAGGTGTTATTTTTTTTACCTTCTTTTGATGAAGGTGTTATTTTTTTTACCTTCTTTGATGAAGGTGTTATTTTTTTTTGATAAAATAGAACCATGCCACCCAGATAATTGCTCATTATTTATTGGTGGTGATAATCTTGCCGGTATGACGTCATTAACTATTGAAAATTGGATCAAAAAAAATGAAACCATTCCACAAAATTTTGCGCATATTTTCAAAAAAAGAAAGGAGAAGTATGTATATACTTATTAATTATATTTTTTAATTTTAATATTAAATGAAATTAAATGAAGATTTAACTTTTAGTTATGGATTTATTCATTTCGTTGACGAGGAAACTAAAATTAATTTCTTTGAAGAAGTAGATGGAAAAAAATTTAAAATTGGTCAAGAAAGTGAGGAGGAATTAACAATCCATTTTTTTCCCTTAGTAAGAAAAAAGCAAGCTGAACATGTAATTTTAATTTATTTTTTTTAAAAAAAATGTAAGCAATTAATTTATTATTATTACTAATGTTTATGTTTATTTTTATATAGAAGACCGTAGATTCAAACTATGGTCCTTCTCATAATTTATATAATTTATATGATGACGGGTAATTATGTTTGTTTGTTTAACATGAAATTTTACTAAATATAATATTTATCTGATGTTTAGTTAATTTTTAATTTAATATAGAACGATATTTTCTTTATATATCAATATACCAACCATCAATAATAAAGATGAAATAAGTCTTTATGTAGATGATGATGATAAAGTTGTTATCATCAGTGGCGAATATAAGAACATCAATATAGTGGAAGGTAATCATTTTATTAAAAAGTTAATTCCAACCGGCAGATTTGAAACTAAGATTCCATTACCATCAAGGTAGTAAGTAGTTGTAATTATTTTATTTAATTATATACTATAGTTATTCTAATTTTAATTGATATAATAGAATCGATCCAACAAAAAAAGTGAAAATTGAAAAAGTAGATGCTATCAGTTTATTTAAAATAACATTTACAAAAGGAGAAGGGTATAAAAAAAGAAGATTATCAATAGAATAATAAAGAATAATAGTTTATTTTTTTAAAAAATAAAAAATAAGTATTTTAAATTCTATAAAACAAGCAGTATCCAAATTTTGAACTTTAATTTCTTAAAATCGCACTTGAATTTATAAAGCAGTACCAATAGCGAATTTTTTTTAACTATCGCAGAATTAATAAAATAAATATTGTGCAGTTCAACCGCATTTTTTTTTATTTTCAATTAAAGTCAAAGTTCTTACCTAAAACAGTCTTTAAACACAAATGTATTCTTCTTGATCTGTGTAACAGTACAGACTAGACCACATTAGGTTCCCAGACCAACTGTGCTTTTTAATATATTCCCTTTAAAAATAAGGAAAACCAAATTAAGTTTTAGTTAATATTTTTATTTTTATGAATTTTCATTAATGACATTAATTAACGTGTACAATTAAGCAGGCTAGGTATAAATTTCAGTAAATACATTTACAAATTGCGTGAAGCAGGTCTCTTCTAACTTATTAAATAAAGACTTCTGGTAGCTACTGTATCTGAAATAAAGAATATTATTAATTTATTAAATTATTAGACCAAAAATAAATATATCTTGATAATACGCACTTTGACTTACCATTTATTTTGCTTATTAATTAAAGTTTTAAGTATAGTGCATTAAGAATTTTCATGATTTTTATTATTATTATTATAATAACAATGTCTGTATTTGAATGTTTCATTTTATCCGAATAATTATCGATTGATGTAAAAGCCTCACATTCAATTTCCAAATATGTACCAAATTGTGTTGAACTAATTTAAATGAATGTCGATGAGTAGTCACAAAATCAAGATCTAGATAAAAAGAAAAAAATTTTTTATGATTCTTTTTCAGCATATAGGAAAAAACATTTTTTTTTTAATAGAAACCGATATTATATTATTTAATTATTAAATTTTTAACGTATGTGATTGTAGCTAATACAGCCTCTCCTCATTATTGTTAAGACAAAATTTTTAACATGTCTTTAAAAAGAAGTATTAAGAGTAAAAGTAGAAGTTTAAATTTACGACAACGAGATGATAATTCTTTAAATAGTACTGAATTAATAATGAATGAGGGTAGGTAATTATATTGTGTAAACAACTTACTATAAGGTTGAGGAATTTGAAAATGCATCATGTTGGTTGACCATCCGTTTCATCCCTCTAATAATAATTTTTTATTAATATTCAGGTGATAGCGATAAAAACTATAACAACGATGATATTGAATTTAATGGACCTATAGAGATTCCTTTTGAACGAGAAGAAAATGATTTTCCTGATAATATTGATGGGGAGCCTATAGAAATTTTTGAACAGAATGAAAATGAATTACCTGAAAATATTGATGAATATGAGAGTTTTGAAAACATTTCCGATTCTGATTCTGAAAATATATTTGAAAATAGTTCATTACTTAATTCTTCATTTGATGGCGAATTTGGTCCTTATTTTTCTTCAAGTACTTCTGCCTCAATATTTGCTTGGATTACTAAACATATGATATGTAAGCAAATTTAGTAAATTTAACTATTATTTTTAATATAATTTTTTTTTAATTTAGTTGACTTTTTTCTTTAGCAACAAATGCATATGAAGACTTAATCAAAATTTTGAATCATCCTAATTTTGATATCAAAGATGTTTCTACGAATATTAGAAATTTTAAGGAAACAAGCCGAAATCAATTGCCATTATTAACCATCAAAAAACATACAATACCGATATCTGATATGAAAACGCAATCTACTTCACAACCTACTAGAGAAGCATATCCAGTATCATTGATTGATACTTTAACAAAAATTTTGTCTAATCCTTCTCTAGTTTCCAAAATGTACAATGGTCCAGGAATTGAAATAGAAAACAAAAGTGAATTTTGGCATGGCGAACTTTGGCAACAATCTCCATTATTTGGTGTACATAGCATCATAATAAATTCAGGTAATTATAATTCTTGGGTATTTTAATTAATTAACTATATATTAAATTATATTAATAGTGTGTTTTTTTTTAATAATACTTTTTAGTCTAATATTTTACAGGAGAATTTGTTCATATAATAACATCAAATCTTTTAAATTGCATGAGAATAACATCCATAATTTTTCATAATGAAAATGTAAAATTAAAATTGCAAAGGTTTTTAAGATTCGAAGAACTTCCAGATCGATTCAAAACATCTGAACGTGCTTCTAATATCAATACAAGGTGGTTATTAGAAGACAAACCAATAATAGTTGATCCCAGAGTTCTAGTTAATAAAACGTCAGTATGGTTGCGTGACCAACAAAAACTATCTTATTATTCATATGAAGTTGACGAAATTTTATACCGTTATGAAAATACATGGAAAATTAGAAACATATGTTACAGGATTAGGCACCCATCCGAATACTGTTCTTTTCCTCAAAATTCAAGTAATTTACCGATTTGGAAATTATTTATAGATCTCTATTATGATGATTTTGGTACTTATAGAAATGTTTATCACTCCCTTGGTGGTGTATATATACAAATTGGCAATATGCCATTTTCAATGCGAAAACTTTTGAAAAACCATTTTGTTATAGGTTTTGTCCCTTTTGGTGGAAAATTTAAAGATTTTATTCGCCCTTTCTTAAAAGAATTAAAGGAACTAGAAAAAGAGAAAATTATTAATATTCAAGGTGAAGATACATTGGTTGTAGCGGGACTTGGTCTTGTAACTGCAGACCTTCCGCAGGGGAATGACTTAGCGGGAGTTATGAGACATAATGCCAAAAAAGGTTGTAGATTTTGTATGATTGAAGAACATGAATCTTTAAAATCCTTTGATGATTTATCTAAAGAACTACTTTATCACCAATTGATGGATCGTGAATTTGAAAAGATACTAAGTTCAAATTCATTAACAGAACAGAAAGTTTTATGTTCAGAACTTGGATTGAAAAATCAAAAACCTGTGTTAGATGATTTAATGTTTAATCGCTTACTTCANAAAGGTTGTAGATTTTGTATGATTGAAGAACATGAATCTTTAAAATCCTTTGATGATTTATCTAAAGAACTACATTATCACCAATTGATGGATCGTGAATTTGAAAAGATACTAAGTTCAAATTCATTAACAGAACAGAAAGTTTTATGTTCAGAACTTGGATTGAAAAATCAAAAACCTGTGTTAGATGATTTAATGTTTGATCGCTTACTTCAAACTCCTCATGATATTTACCACGCTATTGCTGGTAAAATATTAAGATTAATGGATTGTACTTTTAATATGTTTAGTTCAACTGGAAATAATGATTTTATCAAAACTTGGAAAATATTTGAAATGCCCATACAATGGCATAAACTACCAAATCCAGTAACACATCGACAAAGTTTTATGATGTCAGATCGGTTACGTTTGGCTATGATTTTACCACATATTCTTAGACGATTCTTAAAACTTAAACATTTAAAGCAACGTTCGATTGATGAATTACAAGAAAATCTATCTGTTAATTCTGGATTAGTAATCAACAGATTAATTCAATGTTGGGCAATCGTAGCAAAGTGTGCTAGATTTTGTTTTAATCTATCTTTTAATGATGAGTCATATGAAACTTTAAATAGTTTATTAAAGCAAGAAATTATTTTACTTACTAAGGTAATGATCATTGATTTATTTGATAATTTCACAATATTATAAAACGAACTTAACATTTTTCATATAATTCTTTTATTAATTGTTAATTTATCTTATAGATGTTCCCTCAAAATTTTACTCATCTTCCTAACCTACATATTAACGCTCATTTACAATGTCATGCTAAGACATTTGCTACACTAGTAAATAGTTCCGTTGGAATAAAGGAAATGGTTCATAGGACATTCAAAGGTGCTGTTTCACATACAAATGGCAAAATGATAGAAAGAGATTTGATAAAGAGATATAATACTTTACAAGCATTGTGTAATATTATAGATGGCACGTTAGATTCTCGTTACAACACTTTGGGAAACGGATATTATCAAAACAACATTTTTAGATCATTACTTTCTTCTTGGTATGCCACATCAGTAACTAATTATGACACTAGAGAAATAGGTATTATTATTTTATAATTTTATTTTATTTTCTTTTTTACTAACAATAAATCAATTATTTTATTAAATATAGACGAAGAAGAAATTAATTCTCCAGTTGATTTTATTTGTGAAATTCGTTTTCGAATTAAATGGAAATATTATGAAATTTCACAAAATAATTTTGAACCAAATATGTCAATTGATGGAGATATTTATAATGGACTAAAAATGGCTTACAAAGATTATTTCAATTTCTTAGAATATATTCATAATAAGAAAATTGTTTATTTTAATTATATCACTTACAAAGTGTTAAACGATAATGATGAATCATCAATAATACGAATACGTGTTGGAGATATAGTAGAAATTGAAGAAGAAAACGAAGGAACTTCATACGCAATAGTAAAGGCAATTTTTTTGCATACTTATAATAATGATAAAACATATCCTTTCTATTTTGTGAATTGGTTTGAAAAGGTTAAAGTAAGAAATGGGTTTGATACTTTAATGACGTGTCAAAAGTACAAAATATGTACAGAAAGAGAAAAATATCTTAATATTTTCCCTATATCTCTTGTAACTTCTATGCCAAAAATTCATTTTGTTCATCAATGTGTAGATAATTGTTTAATAGAAAGTCATGATTTATCGCAACCTTATTTGCTAAATGAGTTTTTCTATAATGCGATATGATTAATCAAACAATAAAATTATCCAATATATATTATGTAATTGAAAGAAAAACTAAATTTAGTTTTAGACAATGAAAAATTCTTGTAAATAAATTATTCATTTTTATTTTATTTCTTAACGTTGTCTGTTACATTAACAGGATGTTAAACCAATTTAGCGGTACTTTTAAGTTTTTTTTATCGAAAATTTTTAGTCATGTGGAATTTCGTGATTTCAATCACGTGTAATTTGTAATATAAACAAAGTAAACATTATTACTAATATTACTTAGTACATTACTTTTTTTCTCGGTAGGTTTTCTGGTTTTATTCCTTTTCGAATAAATAAATATGAGAAACATATTTATTTTTCTCGTTAGGCTCTCTTTTGATATTTAAAAATGTAGTTTCAAACGTTCTTTTTTGTTTTTCTAAGTAGGTTTCGTTCCTTTATTTGGAAAAAAAAAAAATATTAATGAAAGTTTAAAAAGACAGTTATCACGTTTAAATATGTAGGCTTTCTTTCTTAGAAATGGTAAGCTTTTATTTTTTGTTTTATACTACAGGGGAACTCTTCCATCTTGGATCAAGTAATACACTTTTACGCTATTAAAGCTATAATATTGTTATAGAAAACAATTAATTATGAAGACTGATACACTGGCTGAATCTGCTTATTTGTTAGGTGGAGACAACTTTGAAGTTAATGTGTATTCCTACCTAGTAAAATAAAGAAACAAAAGTTAACTCAATATTTAATACATATAGAACAAATAGAACTTGATAAAGAAGGTGAAAGTAATACAAATATTCTTACGGGGTCTATTCTCTGGACGAAACTGGAAGGTCTTGACTCAACACAATACCCTATGCTAAGTCAACCTTTGGAATTGTCTGTTGGTGCACAATTTAGTTTTTGGGAAATTGCCGAACACCATATAAGAGAGTATGGAAGGCAGAAGGGATTTGTGGTAAAACGATATAGAGTTTTGATTTTGTTTTTTCAGAAATAAAAATTTTATATTAAAAAGGAAACAGAAAATAAAGTTTCCAAAAAAAGAGATAAAAGCAACGAAGTCGTAAAATTCAAGAGAGAACCTTCCTGAACCAAAGCTAGAAAAATCAATCAGTAGGTAACTGACATTAAATGATGCTTTTTTTTCTTACATACAATATCTAATAAGTCTTATTGGAACGGTCCTCACTCTTTAGACGTTAGCATGCTATCGACGAAAGCGTGATCAGAAGGCTTACTGCGTAAGGATCTATTAGGATACTAGATTTATGCATGACGTACTGTATATTTCTGGTCCAACTAAATATTATTTATCTAAATATGATTTTAAATTTACGAATTTTGTGTAATATATTATAATTTACTTTACAATATAATAAAGTTATTTCCACAATACTTTTATGATACTTTTACGATGTAGTAAGTTATTTCCGCAAGTCTTTAAAATATTTTTACAGTATAATAAAGTTATTTCCACAAGTCTTTAAAATACTTTTACAATATAATAAAGTTATTTCTACAAGTCTTTAACAATATAATAAAGTTATTTCCACAATACTTTTATGATACTTTTACGATGTACAGTCAGAACTTGATATAACGATTCGGGATAAACCGATTTTGACTCTTACCGACTTTTTTTTCAAAACCAAATCCACATATAATTAACTTTACTACTATATACCGAATTTATTATAAATTTCGTGATATAGCTATACCGACATTAATCTGTAAACCAGTTATATTGCATTATTCGCGATAAACCGATACCGATTTTTTTTTCTGTATACCGATCATCGTTATAAAAAAATTTTTTTTATTCTATATGCCGATTTTTCATCGATCTTCACCAAAGAGAGTAAAATAACAGATGTAAGTTAAGTTAAATATCCCATAATTACAAGATAATTTTTTTGCCCCTTTTATTAACTCTTCTACTATTGTTATGTCTACAAATAAGCGCGTTACTTTATCTGTAGCTCAAAAGCAAGAGCTTTGCCAAAAGAAAATTGATAATCCGTCTATTCCAAATATTGAACTTGCTCGTCAATATAATGTTAAACCTAATATGGTTAGCGATATTTTAAAAAGGAAATCTGAATACCTGTCTGTTTCAAGTTCAGAACTAGAAAGGAAAAGATTTAGACAACCGATGTATAAAGAAATAGATGACGCCGTTGGAATTTGGATGTCTCAGTTTTTAGCTGCAAACCAAACATTAAGGGGTGATATTTTACAAAAAAAAGCCAAGCAGTTTGCAGATAGATTTGGATTTGCTGAATTTACGGCTTCTGCAGGCTGGCTGTCAAATTTTAAAAAAAGAAATAATGTTCAATCATATATTAAATCAGGAGAAGCAGCTAGTGGTCCTTCATTAGAAGAAATTGATGAATATAGACGAAAAGTTACAGAAAAATTATCTGAATATGCATTGGAAGATATATACAACTGTGATGAAACGGGTATTTTTAAATTTATCATTATTTATAAATTATTTGTAATTTATTTATTTATCTGTGATTGTTTTGTTTTATTAGCATTATTTTGGCAACTAGAACCATCAAAGACTCTTGCGCAAGGACCCGTAACAGGAACTAAAAAATCAAAAAATCGAGTAACTATTTTGCTGACATGTAATGCTACGGGTGAAGATAAACTTAAACCGCTATTCATTCACAAGTACAAAAATCCTCGTCCATTGCGTGGTATGTCAGTTGAAGATTCTGTACAATATTATTGGAATAAAACTGCATGGATGCAACAATCAATTTGGCTTGATTATTTGAAAAAATTAAACAAGTTAATGTGTCTTCGCCGTAAAAAAATCCTGTTATTGGTTGATAATGCTCCAACACATGGTAAACAACATGAATTGCCTTCTTTTAGTAATATTGAAATTTATTATTTACCACCTAATACAACTCCATATTTACAACCTCTGGACCAAGGTATTATTAATTCTTTCAAAGTAAGTATGATAAGTTTATATTTGAAATGATTGTTTTAACATCTTTTATTAACTATTATTAAAATTAAGGCCAAGTATAGAAAATTGTTAGTGGAAAATAGAGTTGAAGAATACGATATTTCACAAGAGTTAAATACACCTATTGCTCCTGTTAATATTCGTAATGCTATTGATTTTGTTGTTGAAGCGTGGAATCAGGTTGACCTTCTCACCATTAAAAATTGCTGGTTGAAAACTGGTATTATTCCACCAGATGATGAATGAGATGTAGATATAGAGCTTAATTTTAATAGGGAAAATGATGAAAATAACTTAAATGATGCTATACAGAAATTGCCATATGATGATACTTTATCTGGGTTGGAGTATATTAATGTTGATAAATTAGGTGAAGATGAAATTTTGTTGGAGGATGATGAGATTGTTGAAACTGTGCGATCAAGACATAATGCAGAAACAGTACAAGATGACGATGAAAATGAATTTATTCCTAATATTTCCTTAAGTGATGTATTAAGCAGCGTTGAAAAATTAATTACTTTTCATAATTTTCCACCAGAAAATTATGAGGTTACTAGTGACGAATTAAAAATTTTGAAGGGCATTAGAAGAAAAGTTTTGAGATTTAAATCGGAATTTATGCTACAATTAAATTTGGATGAATATGTAATTTGCGAATAGGAATTTTATTAGTACTTCTAATAATAGTAGTTTTATAAACATAATATAATAATGCGAATAGGATTTATTAATATTTCTAATAAATAATAATGATATCAATTTTATAATAATATAATAAATAATAGCATATATTACAAAAAAATTGATAAACCGAATTATAAAAAATATTACATATAAGTTCGATATAACAAGAATATTTGTTTTACCGAATACTCAGTATAACGACTTAAAATCACCTGAACGGAGGGTTCGTTATATCGAGTTCTGACTGTAGTAAGTTATTTCCGCAAGTCTTTAAAATACTTTTACAATATAATAAAGTTATTTCCATAAGTCTTTAACAATATAATAAATTTATTTCCACAATACTTTTATGATACTTTTACGATGTAGTAAGTTATTTCCGCAAGTCTTTAAAATATTTTTACAGTATAATAAAGTTATTTCCACAAGTCTTTAAAATACTTTTACAATATAATAAAGTTATTTCTACAAGTCTTTAAAATACATTTACAATAAATGTACAATATAGTAAAGTTATTTCCAAAATATATTTACAATATTTGCAATATTTGTATAATATTACATGATTATAAAACTATATATATACTATATTAATACAATATTGTATAAATATCTAAATTATATTCTTATGAGTCTCAATTATTTATAGTTTTATGATTGCTATTGTATAATTGCAATATCATAAAAATATTGTAAAAATATTGTAAAAAAATTAAGGGTTACAGTAAAGTATAGATGAAACAGATAGTGATGATACGCCAAAAAGTTATACTATAACAGAAACAGATGATAGGGAAGAAGAAAATTCATCAGGTAGCGAAAATGAAGAAACAAAAGAATTGAACACATTATATGAAATCATAACAGAACAAGGTTATGAGATAGAGAAATTAAATATTGAAAGATTATTTAGATTAGGATTTGATCGTTATGAATTAGTGGTAGATGGATTTATAAGAAAATATTTAGAAAACCAGGAAAGAGATGATAAAGATGTACAAAAAAGTTTAATGCAATATTTAGCAAAGAAAGGTTATAGAGAAATATCGGATAAAAAATCTGATGAATTTAATGAATCTGATAATGTTGAAGAGACAGAAATAACAAAAATATTTGAAGAAATAATTAGAATGGATCTGAAAAGAATGAGTTATAATGTAGAAATAACAGAAATTGAAAGAATAAGAAAATTTGGAGTAACTGCAAAAATAATAACAACGTACGAATTTATGAAGAAATATTTAACAATATGGAATCTTGAAGATGAGGAGTTAGATAATCAAATCTTACAATGGAGAGTTGAAAACACAAAAGAATGTGAAAGATGTGAAATTGAAAGATTAAAGAAAGAATTCAAAATTGGAAAAGAAACTTGCATAGAATGTGAAAAAGATATTGAAAAAGAAAATCCAACAGATGATGAAGACGAAGTGGAAGAAGATATAAAAGAACCCGAAATTGGCTCAAGTAAAAAACCAAAAAGCAAAGAGAAAAATAAAGAATTAAAGAAAACACCCATAATACCAATAACACCAGTAATACCAGTAAAACTAAAGATAACAATGGCAGCATCAAGAGATGAACTCAGAGCAGATCTCAGAGCATTAATGAACACTATGTATAACCATGATATTTGAGCGGATTGGAACAATTTAGTATTACCACCAGTAACATTAACAGGATTACAAGAAGAAGTTCAAGTGAATACCAATGCTATTGGAAATTTGAATGCAAATAGAGGAGCTATTGTGGAAATACCAGCATTTTATGGTACTAGTGGAGAAGATCCAGAAGAATGGGCAAGTAAATTTGAGAAAGCATTTACAGTGAATGGTTTAGGAAATGATGACACACAAAGATTTATAATAGCAAAAGCAAGATTAATGGGGGAGCAGCAGATTGGTTAAAGACTGAAGGAGTAAATATTGTTGATTGGAATATTAATGGAGATCATAATTTAAGATTAAGAGTAAGAAAACAGGGCGGACATGGATTATATCACAATGTCGATCACTTGCCGATCATGATATAAGTGATATCACGTTAAATTTGAAGCTTTATTCCAAGCAATAAATGTTCTGACAATTTATGTTAAATTATTTTATTTAATAGTTTCATTTATCAATAAATTAATATAAAAGTATTGTGGCAAAATAAGGTGTGTTTCCAAAGTTAGATTTTACGTCAAATTTTCAATAATTAATATATATGCTATATA